ATTTCAGAGGAGTAGAACAAATAATTTAACAATTTGTATGGAAATACAAAAAAGCTTGAATAGCCAAAGCAACCTTGAGAAAGAATGGAACTGGAGGAATCAATCTGCTTGACTTCAGGCTATACTACAAAGCAAGTCATCAAGACATGGTACTGATGACAAGACAAGGTATGGTACTGGCACAAAGACAGACACATAGATCAATGGAACAAAATAGAAGGTCCAGAGATAAATCCATGCACCTACAGACACTTTATCTCCGACAAAGGAGGCAAGAATATATAAAGGAGAAAAGACAATCTCTTTAACAAGTGGTGCTGGGAAAACTGGTCAACCACTGGTAAAAGAATGAAACTAGAACACTTTCTAACACCATACACAAAAATAAACTCAAAATGGATTAAAGATCTAAATGTAAGACCAGAAACTATAAAACTCCTAGAGGAAAACATAGGCAAAACACCTTCTGACATAAATCATAGCCAGATCCTCTATGACCCACCTCCAAGAGTAATGGAAATAAAAGAAAAAATAAACAAATGGGACCTAATGAAACTTAAAAGCTTTTGCACAATGAAGGAAACTATAAGCAAGGTGAAAAGACTGCCTTCAGGATGGGAGAAAATAATAGCAAATGAAGCAACTGACAAAGAATTAATCTCAAAAATATACAAGCAACTCCTGCAGCTCAATTACAGAAAAATAAGAGACCCAATCAAAAAATGGGCCAAAGAACTAAACAGACATTTCTCCAAAGAAGACATACACATGGCTAACAAACACATGAAAAGATGCTCAACATCATTATCAGAGAAATGCAAATCAAAACCACAATAAGGTATTATCTCACGCCAGTCAGAATGGCTGCCATCAAAAAGTCTACAAACAATAAATGTTGGGAGAGGGTGCGGAGAAAAAGGAACCCTCTTACACTCTTGGTGGCAATGCAAACTAATACAGCCACTATGGAGAACAGTGTTGAGATTCCTTAAAAAACCGTAAATAGAACTGCCATACAACTCAGCAATCCCACTGCTGGGCATACACACCAAGGAAACCAGAATTGAAAGAGACATGTGTACTCCAATGTTCATCGCAGCACTGTTTACAATAGCCAGGGCATGGAAGCAACCTAGATGTCCATCAGCAGACGAATGGATAAGAAAGCTCTGGTACACACACACAATGCAATATTACTCAGCTATTAAAAAGAATGCATTTGAATCAGTTCTAACGAGGTGGATGAAACTGGAGCCTATTATACAGAGTGAAGTTAAGTCAGAAAGAAAAACACCAATAAAGTACATTAATATATATATATATGGAATTTAGAAGGATGGTAACAATGACCCTATATGCGAGACAGCAAAAGAGACATAGATGTAAAGAACAGACTTTTGGACTCTGTGGGAGAAGGCGAGGGTGGGATGATTTGAGAGAATAGCATTGAAACATGTATATTATCATATAGATAGATATCATATAGAAATAGATCGCCAGTCCAGGTTGGATGCATGAGACAGAATGCTCAGGGCTGGTGCACTGGGATGACCCTGAGGGATGGGATGGGGAGGGAGGTGGGAGGGAGGGTCATGGCTGATTCATGTGAATGTATGGCAAAAACCACCACAATACTGTAAAGTAATTAGCCTCTAATTAAAATAAATTAAAAAAGAAAAAAAAGTTAAGGAATCATGAAGTTAGTCTTCAACTAAATTGGTCTTCAACACAGATTCTCAATTGTTGATGGGTGAAGAGGCCAGGGAGGAAGTCAAATAGAATAGTACAACCCAGATGCTAACAGCACTGCTTTCCTTAGAAGGTCATGGCCCCAGTTCTGAGACCCCCCCCCCAGTAGGTAAGGTTCCCTGAATCAAGGGCCCAGGCCTGAGGCCCAGGTATTAAGGGCCTCAAAGCAGCAGAAACCAGGTTGGTTGAGGACAGCCAGCCAAGACTGAGACTTCATGTACCAAAATGTGAAAAGTCACAGCTTCAACAGTATCTCCTCCTATGACTCCTTCTCTGGCGGTTCTCAGCCCTCTGCCCTCCCCAGTCTGACTTGTGCTGTCAGTTTTGTGCCACTTCCACAATTCCCTTCTTTTTATTTTTTTTTAATTTGTCTGTGCCAAGTCTTAGTTGTGGAACATGAGATCTTCCACCTTCGCTGTGGCATACAAACTCTTAGCTGTAGTATATGGGACGTGGTTCTCTGACAGAGATTGAACCCGGGCCCTCTGCATTGGGAGCGCAGTGTCTTAGTCAGTGGACCACCAGGGAAGTCCCCACAATCCCCTTATTTCTTGAAGCTGAACTGAATTTAATGGGAGGGGGAAAGCTGATCCTTGGTTTCTCTGAAGCCACATATGTTCCTCTGGATCTGAGTGCTGAACTGTATGAAGAAAAGGCAGGAGGGACTCTGGCTGTCTGGATCAGCAATCTCTCTTCTCAGTCTTTCCCCTAGAGACCTATCTTTCCAAGGCATGAACTGACTAAAGGCATTTCCTTCTCCCAGAACCAACCTGTTCTATTTCCCTTTCTTTCTCCTCAATACACTTACCTTTCTCACCAAAAAGAAATCAGTCTGAGAGGACGAAAACTAGATTGAGGAGAAAACAAGCAAAGACACCTTTAGAAAGAGAAAAGGTATTTATTATTATACAAATAGCTATGCATACTGGGGCACTGGCAAACTGCCAAAGAATTTTCCCAAATAACTTTTGCATAGCTGTATTACAAGTATTACACATCAGTAACACATTTAGGAGAACAAAATTAGAATTCAGAAAACAGAGTCTCTCAGAGCCCCACCAGATTCTGATTCCTTGTTGAAATACTCTATTACAGTGGCTTTGAGCAACTAGCTTTTTTTTTCCCCCAGCTTTTTCAGCTGGTTGCTGAAGGCTGGATCTGATGCTGAGCTGATTGTTAAGATACTAGCTGCCCTGAGGATGAAGATGAGGCCTGTAGATGAAGGACAGCAGCCTTGCTTCTAGGAAAATAGTAGCTGAATAGGGCGGTCAAGGAATATTTTACATCACTTTAAAATCGACTGTACTAAAACTACTAGTTCTTTAGTAATTACTGAAATAATCATTCCAGAGGTGTACGCCTTAACTTCCTTTTACCATATAATAAATCTTTTCAATATTGTTAGTACTTATTACTGTAGAATTATGACGATATACTAAAACTTCTGATACTGCCTAAATTGTGCAAATGTATAAAACCTAACTTCTGTGCTAAGTTTTTATAGTGATTTAAATAAACCCCCACCAAGTGAATTAATTTCAGTAATTGTCTAAGTAAAAGGAGGAAGTTTCTGTATAAGTATAGCACTTGGTAAATTCAGCTTCTTCTAATAATTCTGGACTCAGTATTGTGGTTCAAACAATGCTAACTTACAGCAAGCAGATCACTGGAAGAAAATACTAGTCTAGCAAAACTAGATTATACGCTCATGGTCAAAATGAATTTCATACTGCTTAAGACTACACTGAATTGGTTCAGAAATAAAACAGGTCACTTGTTTGCTTGCTTATTTTAGTGAACAGAGTGAAGTTCTTAGAACTAGGCCTTGGTCTGTGGACCTGAAGGATCTCCAGAGAAGTGATGTGAAACAGATTCAACATGAGGGCAAATGGCAATTGTTCAATTAATTCCCCTCTTCATGTATCTTTAGCTGTTGGCACGTAGAAATGCTGGGGTGTGTTTATCTCCTTGGATATAAACATGGTAGAAAATGCTTCTTAGTTTTTTCTCATTGAAGTGGGGGCAGAGTGAAAAACATGGCAGAAGAGGACTTGGCCTTGGATTAAAAAATGGCATCAGAAAAATGCAAGACATTTTCCCCTTCTGAGCTCAAAGTGCACACCATTAGGATAATAAAAGGATACATGTAAGTTGGGATGCCTCTTGAGGCCAAGTGTTTCCGAATAAGTCGCTCAGTACCATACCAGTTAAAACCTTTTGTGGCATGTCCAATGCGTGGAAGATGGACACTTGCTGTTAAAAAAAAAAGTTCATGATGTCTTCATCAAATTCAGTAATGTGTATAAGATATACATAGGAGATGGTAGTGTATTCTGAGTCACTTTGCTGTTTCCAATGAACAAAATGTATATAATCTTGGTGAGTGACACTCAAAGCATATGATTATTATATGAGGAGTGACTGTAACATGGGAAAACTAGTTCTATAGAACACGAGGACCTACATACAGGCTCTGGTAATAAGTAGGTACAATGGGAATAGAATATGATTGATGATTGAGATGTAATTTAAAAAGCAAAGATTCTTTAACAAGTCAGTCAGTTCGACAAACTCTGAGACATGCTGGGTTTGGAAACAAAATTAAACTCAGGTCTTTTGGCAGAGAACTGTCTGCTAATGCAGACTGTGACTCTCTGAGAGGGGACAAGATAAAAAGCGTTTCCCAACAGCGTGTGACCAGTTTACCTCATTTCTGGTCCTCTGCTTCCTCGTCTGTAAAATCATGATACAAATACCCAGAGGATGCAGGTGGTCCAGAGACAAAGGATACAGAAGTGATCAAGAAAGGAAAAGGGCTTTGAGAATACAAGATGACGAAAGTGTTACTTCTGTGGGCTCTCATAGTGGGGCTTCCCTTCACTACACATACTGAATGGGATCTTGGCATTTCTCACCTCCCTTTAAAAATAACATCCTACGCTTGGAAACAGAAATTCATCTATTCCTGAACACAAATGGAAGGACTTACCTTTCCTTTTCTTTGCTGCTAAAAATATCTTCTTCAGGGCCTCTTCTAGGGCTGCCATCTTAATGCCAGACAGGACATTGCTGCGATCTCGGTGCTGGGCCACCATCAAGGCCAACTATGAGGAACAATCATTTACTGAATGGGAGCAGGGGCAGTTTCCAGAGGAGGTGATGGGAGTCAAAGTTTAGCTCCAATAAATTGATGTGGTTTTTTTCACTTACCAAATCTTGCCCTTCGTTTCTTGACTCTTTATCATCAATAGGAAATAAAAGGACACCTCCCAAACTCAAATCTGAGGTAAAAGAAGAAGAAGCAACAGAAAGAACATAAAGTTCACTACAGAATGAGACCCCCGAGGAAGGGCTACTCTGAACCGTCCCTATGCTGTGCCTTTTCCAAAGCTACTCAGGTATACCTAACAGTGGTGCCCTATCTTGTTCCTGATATTAGAGGAAAAATTTTCAGTTATGTGGAATATAACGCATGCTGTGGGTTTGTTGTAAATAGCTTTTGGCCCAGTGGTAAAAGAATCGGCCTGCAATGCAGAAGATGCACAGGAGACCGGGGTTTGATCCCTGGGTCAGGAAGATCCCCTAGAGAAGGAAATGGCAACCCACTCCAGTATTCTTGCCTGGAGAATCTCATGGAAGAGGAGCCTGGTGGGCCCCAGGACACAACTTAGCAACTGAACAACAAAACAAAAAACGTACTGAGGTATGTTCCTTCTATAACCAATCTGCAGAGGGTATGTCATCACGAATTTGTACTCTGTCAGATGCTGTCTCTACATCTATTGAGAGAATCACTTTTATCTTTCATTCTATTAATGTGATATATAACATTTATTGATTTGTGTATGTTGAACCATCGCTTCATCCCAGGGATAATTCCTACTTGGTCATGTGTGTAATCCTTTTAATAAGTTACTGAATTAGGTCTGCTAATATTTTGTTGAGAATTTTTGCATTGAAGTTATCAAAGATATTGATTTACAGTTTTGCTTTCTTGTAGTGTCATCTGGCTTTGCTACCAGGGTGAAACTGGCCTCATAGAATGAGTTTGGAAAGATTCCCCCCTCTTCAATTTTTTGGAAGAGTTTGAGAAGGACTGGCGTTGATTCTTCTTGAAATGTTTGGTAGAATCTGCCAGTGAAGCCATCTGATCCTGAAATTTCCTGTGTTGGGAGGTTTTTAATTACTGAGTCAATCTCTTTGCTCATCACTGGTCTGTTCAGATTCTCTAGTTCTTACTGGCTCAGTCTTGACAGTTTGCAGATTCTATAAACTTATCCAATTCTTCCAGGTTATCTAGTTTATTGGTGTATGATTATCCATAGTAGTCTCTTACGGTTCTATGTATTCCTGTAGGGTCAGTTATAATTTCTTTTCTGGTTTTATTTTGGTCTTCTCTTTTTTATTCTCACTAAAGATTTATCAATTTTATCTTTTTGAAAAACTCTTAGTTCTATTAATCTTTTCTATTGTTTTTTTTCTGTCTCTATTTCATTTATTTCTCCTCTGAACTTTATTTCCTTCCTTCTGCTAGCTTTGGGCTTAACTTGTTCTTCTTTTCTAGTTCCTTAAAGGCTAACGTTAGGGTGATTATTTGTGATCTTTCTAGTTTCTTAATATTTGCATTTATTGCTGTAAGCCTCCCTCTTAGAACTGTTTCTGCAGGGCCCCATAGGTTTTGGGGTGTTGTGTTTCCATATTTTTTTTGAGATATTCTTTGCTTTCCCTTTAGGTTTATTCTTTGACCATTGTTCAGGACTATACTGTTTAGTTTCCACATCTTACAGATTTTCCAGTTTTCCTCATTTTATTTCTAGTTTCATGCCATTGTGAGCAGAAAAGATTACTTGGTATGATTTCAATTATCTTGTTTTGCTAAGACCTGTTTTTTGCCCTAATGTATGATCTATTCTTGAAAATGTTCCACATGCATTTACAAGAATGTATATTCTACTGTTGTTGGATAGAATGTTCTATAGATGCTTGTTAGGTCCATTTGGTCTACTGTTTGGTTCAAGCCATCATTTCCTTGTTCATTTTCTGTCTGGATGATTTATGTACTGCTGAGAGTGGGGTACTGAAGTCCCCTATTATTATTGTATTGTCTACTTTTCCCCTCATATGTATTAATATTTGCTTAATATATTTAGGTGCACCAATGTTGGGTGCACATATAGTTACACTTGTTACAACTTCTTGATGAATTGATCCCTTTATCATTATATAGTGACCTTCTTTGTCTCATTACCATTTTTGGCTTCGAGTCTATTTCATGTAATACAAATATAACTACTTCTGTTTTCTTTTGGTTTCTACTTGCATGGAATATGTTTTTCCATCCCTTTGAGATATATAATTGGGTCTTATTTTTTATCCATCTAGACACTCTGTGCCTTTTGACTAATAAATTCAAACAATTTACATTTAAAGTAATTATACGTAAGGACTTACTAATGCCACTGTGTGCATTCCAGTTGTTTTGTAATTCCACTGTTTCTTTTTCTCTCTGTTTCTGCCTACCTTTGTAAATAGATTATTTTCTATGGTGGTATGCTCTGGTTCCCTTTTGTCTTTTGTGGATCTGATCTAGGTTTTTACTTTGTGGTTACTATGGGGCTTTACATGAAACATTTTATAGATAGAACAGTGTATTTTAGAAGGACAGCAACTTATAACTAATTGCCTATAAAAGCTCCACCCTTTTACTCCTCCCTTTTATATTATGCATGTCACAATTTACCTCTTAGTATGTTGTGTATTCATTAGCAATTTATAGTAGCTGTAGTTACTTTTACTATTTTCCTTTAAGCTTTATATTATAGTTGAGTGGTTCACACATCATCTTAACACCAAGCTGGTTTTCTAAATCTTACTGTACATATTTTACCTTTACCAGTGTGTTGTATACTTTGACATGTGCTCATATCACTGATTAGTGCCTTTTCATTTTGACTTGAAGAACTCCTTTCAGCATTTCTTGCAAGGCAAGTCTAGTGATGGTGAACTCCCTCAGCTTTTGTTTGCCGGGAAAGCCTTTATTTCTCGTTCATAGCTGAAAGATAACTTTGCTGTATAAAGTATTCTTGGTTGGCAATTTTGATCTTTCAACACTTCAAATATGTCATTCTACTCTCAGGACCTGTTTCTGCTAAGAAATCTGCTATAATCAAATAGGGGTTCCTTTGTACATTACATTCTTTTTTTCCCTAGCTTCCTTTAAGATTTTTTTTATCATTGAAAGTCTTGGAGAAGGTCTTTTAGCATTGAGATAACAGGGTGACCTATTAGCTTCATGGACATGCATGTTTTGTATTTCCCCAGGTTGGGAAAGTGCTCAGCTACTATTTCTTAAACTCTTTTTCCCCTTCTTCTAGAAACCTAATTACTCTGATATGTGTTTTCTTGATTCAGTCTCATAGCTTACACAGGCTTACTTCACTGTCTTTAAATTTGTTATTTTAAAATTCCTATCTCCCACAAGTCACTTATTCTTTCTTCCATATGGTCTCCCCTGCTATACATGCATGCTCAGTTGTGTCCGACTCTTTGTGACCCCATGGATGTTAGCCTACCAGGCTCCTCTGTCCGTGGGATTTTCCGAGCAAGAATACTAGAATGGATTGCTGTTTCCTACTCTAGAGAATCTTCCCAACCCAGAGACTGAACCCACGTTTCTTGCATCTTCTGCACTGGCAGGTGGATTCTTTACCAGTGCACTACCTGAGAAGCCTACCTTGTTCTCTATTGCATTCTTCATCTCATCCACTGACTTCTTCAGCTCTACAGTTTGGGTTTTTATTTTATTTTTCCTCTGTAAAATCTGTCTTTTCAGAATTTTTAAATTTCCATTAATTTATGTACAGCAAAATTAATCAATTTTAAGTGTGCAAGTTTGTCACATATACATAGTCATATAACCACTACCATTCAGTTCAAAATAATTTTTAATTTCTCTTATGACTTTTTTCTTTGACCTGCAGATAATTGAGAAAAGTACTGTTTAATTTTCAAATATTTAGAGATTTTCTAGATATCTATGGTTGAATTCTACTTTAATTTTATTGTTGTTAAAGAACATACTTTGTGATTTCATTCATTTTTTTTCTTTATTTTTATTAGTTGGAGGCTAATTACTTTACAATATTGTATTCATTTTTAATTTAATGAGAAATTTTTAATGACCCAGAATATGATTCATCTTGCTGAATGTATATATTTGAAAAAAATGGGCATTTTGATCATTTGATGGAGTATTAATAAGTAAAGTGAAAGTGAAGTGAAGTCGCTCAGTCATGTCCAACTCTTTGCGACCCCATGGACTGTAGCCTACCAGGCTCCTCCCACCATGGGATTCTCCAGGCAAGAATACTGGAGTGGGTTGCCATTTCCTTCTCCATGTTTGGGTTTTTTAAAATTTCTTTGAAAAGAAGAAACTTTGAAAAGAAGTAACTATGTTAACATATTTTATTCTTGATTTTATTGAGTTGCTTTTCTGAGTCTTTTTGTAATTCACTGAGTTTCTTCATAACTGCTATTCTGAATTCTTTGTCAGTTAGATCACAATATTCTGTGCCTTTGAGCATGGCTGCTGGAGAACTGTCATTTTCTTTCTGTGATGCCATATTTCCTGATTTCATATTCCTGGTACTTATGCTCTGGTGCTTTTGCATTTGAAGTAGCAGATATCTCCTTAACTCAGTGCTCATTACCTTTAGCAGCAGACAGGGTATTATGTTATATAGTATTGGTATCATCTCAGTTTTTCCTGTATGTTTGTGCTCCACTCTTCTTGCTCTGTCTTGTGGCCAAATTTTTAAGCTTTTGTATATTCTCTGATTTTTACAATTCACCAGGCTGGCTGGATACCTTTTTTCCCAGAAGGTGGAGCTATAGCTCAAATCTGTGGTTTCTTCCTTGCCTGCCAACATGACCTATTTTGAGTAGGATCCTGGTCTACCAGAGTTCACTTTCATGGATACACCAGGGAGCCTGCACAGGGAGCTGGCATCAGAGCTGAGGGAAGGTGTGGGTTTAACACTTAGCGTGTTGGGACTGCCACACACCTGCAGGGGAATTTTCAGGTACTCGCGCATGAACTTTCTACTGAGCACGTGTCTTTGACATCATTTGAAATTCTTATCTGCCTCTTTCCCAATATCCTTCCTCTGCCCAGGTCGGGAGCTACCACCTTAGTACTTCAGATGCTGGCAGAGAGAAACAGGTTTTTCCAGCTGCGTTCCACCTGGTGATGGTAGCTGCCAGAAAAATCAGCCCCTCGCAATGTTTTCCTTGGTGGGCCAGGGCTGGGGCTGGGAAAGTTTCCCTTACCACCTATGCTGCAAACAAACTCATATTTTTCTCTTTTCTCCAATGATGTGCCAGATCTCCCTTCAGGAAGGATGGACTTCAGCAAGTTCCATATGTGATTACCTGTGAGGGCAGCATTCACCTGTTTTTTGCCCTACTGCAGTGAGAGGGGTCTAGGCAGTTTCATAGGCTCTGCTGGTTCTTGCCTGTATTGAGATTTATCTGTGTCTTACCAGTTACAGTGGTGGGTGAGACTCCTCTTGGAGTCTTTTTTTTTTTTTTTCTTGGAGTCTTTTAGAAGACCCACCAAGGCACTTTTGTTCAGGTGGGGATGTCTAATCCATGGGGTGAAAAAGAGGGATTAAAAGCAGGAATGTCTTTCGCTACCATGTCACCCCCTTCACTCCTGAATGTTTATGCTCTTCTACTCCTCAAACATTGCCTATGAAGTATTCCTGTAGGCACTGGAGAGTGAATGCAAAACCCAGAAGTATCTGGGCTGGGAGGGGGTGGGTCACTATGAACTTAAAATTCCTTTAGAAGAGTCTGATGTTTGTTTTAAATTACTCAAATACTTTATTCTACTATACATATTTGTATTTGTATATTTTCCTATCTCATACAAATCAAATTCTCTAGAGAAATGTGTTAATTCTAGGCCTCGCATATTTCAGTTTGAACCTTTTCTCCTCTCAATCCATCCTGCATACCCCAATCTTTTTAAGTCACTCTAAAATACTGGGATGGCCAAAAAGGTTGTTCAGGTTTTTCCATATGATGGTATAGAAAAACCTGAACAAACTTTTTGGCCAATCCAATATTTGCTCTGCTATGTCATTCTTCTACTCAAATCCCCCATGTCTAGCCATTGGATAAGGTCCTGCCTTAGAATGCCATCTCCCTGGACAAGTCATAAGTCATGTGCAGTCTTCTATAATGTGGCCCAAACCTCTCTTCTTTAAAACCTAACTTTATTCCTCAGCCTAAACTTTCTACTCCAGTCTGTCTGGCCTACACACCATTCCCCTAAAATATTCACTGTGTAACTACCTGGGTCATTCAATACCCCATACTGGGAATGGTGGGGTTACAGGAGATACCAAGAAGAATGAGATATGGTTATGGACTCTCCTACCCTTTCTCTCCACCTATTTAATCTCAACCCATCCTTCCAGGCCCAAGATAACTTTCACCACTTCCATCAAGCCCTTCCTGGTAATTCAAACCCACATTTTATCTACCCTGCTATATACCCTATTTCAGTCCTCCTTCAGAAAAGAGTGCACACTCCCATCTGTTTCCTTACTGACCACTTACACCTTAACCCTCTGCAGCCAGGTTTTACTTTCCACACTTTTTTCAAAATGCTCCAGGGTGATGTGACTGCCCCTGGGGGGCAAATCCAGTGGCCTTTTCCCAGTGCTCATCCTCACTTCAGTGTCTGACACTACAGACCACTTCTTGACACCTCTCCTCCCTTGTACCCCAAAACACTACATTGTCAAGGTTCTCTCATTTTTCTGAGAATTCCTTCTTTCCTCTTCTCCTAAATGGAGGTGTGTTCTCTGTCCTCCCATTTCTCCATCCTCTCTCCTTCAGGGTTTTAAACAAGGATCCAGATGGAGACTCCTCAGTCTGTATCTCTAGCTCCAACCTCACCTGAATTCTCTCCTTTTCAAACTGCCCAGTCAGTATCTAGATTGGGTTGATTACAGCAACACATATTAAACCCTGTAATGCATTTTAGTATAAAGACCATTCACTCCAAGTCCTTACAACCCTTTCTATGTGAAAGAAGTGAACAGAAAAACCAATCTCGAAGAAATCTGAAGAGCTCCTCTCTATTGGAAAAGATCCTTTAACCTCTCAAGTTCCACAGGAAATAATCACAATAATCATTTTACTCCTCTTGCCACTTTGTGATTTCCACACATAAAAAGGAGGTGTCCAGCCCCTTCTGCCGAGAGAACACCATTCAGCCTTCAAGTTTCCCCAGACAGCTCTGCTTCCGTCTCCAGGGAGTGTTACACTCCAGTCTGTGCTAACTTCATAATACAACCTCCTTCCTCTCAGCACCCAACTCCTGTTAGCCCTTCAATGGTATGTCTGATTTCTCTCCCACAGGTGTCTGACAGTTACAGGAGATATTCCCTCAAGAAGAGAGTGTGAACTGGGTAAACAGTGAAATGAACTTCAAGACAATACTTCAACATGCATGCAGTGATTGACATTTATCAAAATACTTACACATTCATTATCCTCATTATAGTCCCATGAGGTGGATGGAAAAAGTATTACTTTCAAATTACAAATGAGAAGACAGGTACAGGGAGGGGGAAGGGATTGCCTCAAAGTCACATTATAAATTAGCTTTAACTAATGACAGAATTCAGACTCCAACTAGCTCTTCTGACTCCTCATCTAGTGCATTTTAACGCACCTAATGTCCTCTCCCTCTTATTCCATCCTTAACCCTTCTCTCTGCATTGCTCCTTACCTTTCATTTTCCCAGCCAACTCATATCTTTTTCTTGGCTCAGCAGATCTTGTTTCCAGAGCTGTGAATAAACCACCTCTGCCCCAGCGACCAGAGTCATCTGATAGGAGAAAGAGAAGATTTTCTTCTATAGGAGGCAAAATCAAGTCCACAATTTAAAAAAAAAAGAAAAGGTATGCCAAATATACTTGATTTTTCAAAGGGCAAAAACAACTATCTAACCTCCAAGCATATAACACACTGGACTTGTCAAGTATGTTTAGGTTTTCTGGAATATACCTGGCCATCATAATAGAAAAGCATCAAAAGAATCAGTGTTCTGAAAGAGCAGAAGCTCTGTAGTCCTTCTGTAATTCCTGGAAGATGGCTAAGGGAGGATGTAGAGTAGATGTAAAACCAGAAAGAGTTGAAGCATTGATAATACAACAGCTTACAGCTCCCATTTCATAGGTAAGAAAGTGGAAAGGTTAAATGACTTATTCAAGCTGGTACTAACACAGCTGGTTAATACTCTGTATTCATTCATTCATTCGATCATACTATAAATATGTCAGTATTACATGTCAAGAACTCTTTTATGCTCTAGGGTTACACCAGTGGGGGGAGGGGGGAAATCTCTGCTCCCATGAAGTTTTATTTTCTAGTTCAGTGAGTGTGTGAAAACGAAAGTGTTAGTCACTTAGTCGTGTCCAACTCTTTGCAGTCTCTTGCACTGTAGCCTTGCAGGCTCCTCTGTCCATGGCATTCTCCAGGTAAGAATACTAGAATGGGTTGCCATTTCCTATTCCAGGGGATCTTCCTGGCCCAGGGATTGAACCCAAGTCTCCTGCATTCCAGGTAGGTTCTTTACAGTCTGGGCCACCAGGGAAGCCCAGTTCAATGAAACACCACATGATATGTATATATTTGCTTGTTTCATTGTTTGTTTGTTCAATGAAACAAAAAAGCAAATACATAATATGTCATGTGGTGATGTGTCATCAAGTAAAATAAGGTAAGAAAGTAAATAGAGAAAAACAGGGGTGAGTACAGGGTGTGGAAAGTCAGGGGAGACCTCTCTCTGAGATGTAGATATCTGAACAAAGCTTGATGTGGCTAAGTGGGGAAAGAGCATTCCAGGAAGAGGAACTTGCCTGGAAAAAAAAGTGCAAAGGTCATGAGGGAAGAACATGTTTGGAGTTTCATTTTTTCTCAAAGGATTCATTTGGCTAATAGATGTAGCCTCTGTGTACTCTCTTAAAAAGTTTGTGCAGGGAACAAGGCAGGTATTATCCCATTACACAGATAAGGGAACTGAGGCCTGCAGAAGTTGGATTTGACTCTTACCTTTCTTCTTTACATGGTTGGGCAACCCTAGTCTCCTGGTTCTAAAGTTCACACTCTTTTTGACCACACAAGACTGCCCTAAGCCCATTAAGCACCCCTAAGACAGGGTTCTGCCTTGTCTTCCTTCCCCAGTTCTTGGCACCTTAAGGATTGAGGCCCCACCACTTCTACCTACCTACGCAGTGCACAATGACAGCATCCTCCGCCCCAGCCTGGGGGTGGGTGACGTCACCACTTATATACTTGATGGAGGTTGAGTCCGGGTCCTCATACTCCAGTTGGGCAGAGCTCTCATCTTCCCCGTCCTCTGGTTCGCTCTCCTCAGAAGGCAGGCAGAAGGACTGGTAATTGTTGGACTCCCACCAGGCCATCCTTCGAGAAACCAGAGGGGAGAGGAATTAACTGAGCCTATCACCATTTCCCTCGAAGCACATCCTGGGCTGTGATTCACAAACGGTGAGTACCAAGTGGAGTTGCAATCAGAAACTCACCCTTGTCCTTCTGCCTGTTTGTAAATAAACAAGAAGCCTTACTGATTAGCCTAACTGCCTCCTGACTACACTTCAAAAATGAGCAGCCACCAGATGTCACTGTTTTTAAGAACATGTGACTAAAAGGGACTGTTCAAGTAAACTACTCTTGTCAGACAGCTGCAATCAAGTCCTAAAATGTTCTTGCTTCAGCTGAATGCATCTTCTCTGCCTGAGGCACTTGGGACTGTTCTCTTAAGTAGATGGACTGCTAAGGTGAAAGTTTAATCTTTATAAAAGTATTCTATTACCAGTGGGAACTACCAGCATTACAGACACTTTCTGCAGTTTTAAAGTGATGTTTGACTGTGGACTCACTATGCAGTAGTGATCCCTTTACCAACTGTGACCTTCAGTTATATTAATAATACCATCAAATAACACACACGTACTTTTTCTTATGTTCTTCTTCTTCCTTCTTCTTCCTCTTCTCCTCTAACAGTTTCTTTCTCTTGGCCGCTGCTTCTTGTCTTTTCTTCCTTCTGTCCTCCAGTTCTTCTGGGCTCAGAATCCGCTTCCTTTTGGTGGACCCCTCCACAAGGCCTGGGATGGGAACCTGCAGGAAGAACAAGCTCATAACCAGGGAACTGGGGTCTACCTGTTCCTTTGTGAGTCTCAGTCATCACATTGATCAATGTGCTCAATATTTCACCATGGGTGATGGGAAGTGCTGGCAAGATATTTCAGTTTACACATCTGGTAGGCATGGTAACCAGGATACTATGCTCTAAACTCAACCAAAGCACTGGCATGTCAGTATAGCAATATGTCGTTTTGATTAGTTTCATTAGGAATAAGGTACTTCAGAAAATAACTTGTTTTTTATGAAATGCCAATTTAGGTTTAACTAATTTTAATAGAAATATTCCTTAATGTATTTTATCATTCAGTCTTAAACACAATATTCCAACATCATGATCACCTTAACAATAACTAGCATTTAACGTATCCAGACTAACTGCCAAATGCTATGGACATTACAAACATCGTTTATGATTGCCATCCATCCTTAATGACATAGGGTCATGACTGTCAGCAGCAGGGTATGGTATTTTGATGCAAGACAGTGATCCCTTCAAGGGTGGCTTACTATCACCTGCATTAAATGGTAAAATATAACCTCCTTGTTATTATTTTTAGGCCATCTTCTTATACTTTTTTTTCAACAAATAGTTACATTCTTGTTTCTTAACAAATCATTCTCAGCATCACTTTCTGTTCATTTTTGTTGAAACTCTGGAAGAATTTATCCTCACATAAATTAACAGTTCTTACACTGCCTTTATTTCGGAGTAACCGGCCCTCTTGACTAGTCTTCTCCAAAAGGGTTTTCTGAAGATTCACCAGTTGCTCAAATGATTCTCTGTCTTCTTTACTAGGCTCCTTAGAATAATCTTTACCTTCAAATAAGTACATGTGGTTTTCTAAAAACATAAAACACAGAGAGAAATGTCAGATACTAAAGGAAACTAGATTGATTCTAGTCAAAGCAATAAGGAGGGTAAACAAGAGAATGGTCTGTATTCTAAATGGGCCAAGAATAGCTTGTGATGAAGGTACTGGAATTCCCATCCCACTAATGCTGACAGGTTTGGGACCCACCTGGGGATTTCATATATTTACTTTTTAAAGGAGCAAGCGTGGTTAAAGCCCTTTTGGTCCATCTTTAGGTGGTCTGTAAGCCTCAGTTTGATGCCTGCCAAGTCCTGGATCACTCATCACTCATTCATTCCACACTACTCCCCAGCACAAATCTCACTGACATTAAGATCTCCTAACTAAGGGTAACCAACAGCATATTTTTTAAAAATTGCAAACAGACTTTTAACACTCAACTCTTCCCCCTTTTCTGTAATATGACAAGGATCAAGTAGAAAAATCTACGAGGAAATAACCACAAAAATAATCCCTTAGATTTACAACTTTCTTTGTAGAGCTCATGAAGCATCTTCATGAGCCTCAACACAGTCTTGGTATAATTAACCAAGAAAAAGAGAAAATTGAGGGCTTCCCTGGGGGCTCCGTGGTAAAGAATCCACCTGCCAAAGGAGGAGACAAAGCTTTGATCCTCAGTCCAGAATTAGAGACTAGCCCTCGCCTGCCACAACTGGAGAAAAGCCTGCTCAGCAACAATGACTCAGCACAACCAAAAATAAATAAAATTATATATAAAAAAACAACCCTGAGGTTCAGAGAGTTATCAAGCGCCTCCCCAGTTCAAATTGCTAATAAGTGAAGAAGACAGGATTTTCTGAGTCTGCTGTCAATGTGCTCTTTCCAGTATACAACTGTGTCTATAGAAGGATGGATAGATAACAGGCCAGCAAATAGTAACTAGAGTAATAACATGAATGGTGATAGTGTGAACCTGAATAGCAGTTTATGCTGTCAGAGCACCTTTACATTTATAATCACATCTGATTTTTGCAACTGTGTAAAAGGGTAAAGTATACACTACTAGCACCACTTTACAGATGAGGACCCAAAGGCTCAAAGAGGTTGGGTAATTTGCCAACACCATGAATCACATGCTAGAAGTCATAACAAGCCAAGCCTAGTAACCAGAGAGAGGTAAGACAACGATTCTAAATCGAAGCATATTTAACAGCACACGTTACCAAAGAATGTATTTTCACAGCATTATAAAATCAGCTATGAATATAAGTATGTTTTTCCCTAGAGAATACAGAAGCAAAACATTTTCATTCTCAAGAGATCAACTGCTTCACACTTGTACCCAAATCCAACCAGCTGTAATTCTAATTGGCATTTACTAATTAAATCAGCAGGGGGCTTTCAATGAGGTGCTCTATCAACAAGTAGGGAAAATAGAGCCAAGAGGAGGCAAATATGATCACAGATGTAGCTGCATGTGATTCTCAACTTACAAACATGCTTTAAAAAAAGACCCTGACATTCAAGATAAAAGCCATCCTGCTTTTTAACTTTCGTAGGGGATGCTGTAGTTATGAGTCTTTCATGTTCATCTGTATTCTTTTAACCATGCTCTGTCTTCACTCTGCAGCCAAGAGAAGGTTGGAGACCACAGGCATGGACACTCATCTATATCCTGCCAATGGAACCACCTACCACAGACTGGACCTGTACTCACTGATCAAACACAAAACTCCAAATGTTAATACAACTGGGAAATTTTTCCTGGCAGCTGGACTGCATGAAAAAATATATATAATTTTTTTTGGCAGTTGGACTGACTGAAAAATATAATTATCTTTCTGGAAAACAGTGAAATTTTACTTTGTTCTACTAAACATTAGCAAAATAAGCTGGAATTAATCTAGATGAGTGCAGAAATGAGTACAGGCTTCAGTACTTAATGTAATCAAAATGCAACTTAAAAACATACATCTATTTCTCCTCCCACCTAAAACCTACATGGCAGTAAATGGATTTTTTAAAGATACATAAGATAACAGTGGACGAAAAGTTCAACAACTTTTTAGAAAATTCTAAGTGGCTCAAAGGATAACAGAATTAAAAGAACAGTGGAAGCAAAATACAGGTGCCTGGTCAAGGGATGATTATGAGAACAGAGCCCCTTTCAATCCTCTAAAAGCTCAGAACTTCCACAGACAAGGAGCCGCAGGGCGGGATAACAGAGAGAGTCTGCAGACCAAGTAACGGGAGCTAAAAGATACTGTACATTAATTAACGCACATGCGCTTCTAAAGCACAGTGGTAAAGGATCTGTCCTCCAAGGCAGGAGATGCAAAAGGCACAGGCTCGATCCCCGGGTCAGCAAAGATCCCCTGGAGAAGGAAATGGCAATCCACTCCAGTGTTCTTGCCTGGAAAATTCCATGGACAGGAGCCTGGTGGGCTATAATCCATGGGGTTGTGACTCAGCACACACAACACATGTATGTGGAACCTAGAAAAAGGCCTAGATAATATTTATTTGCAAAGCAGAAACAGAGACAGAGATGTAGAGAAAAAAACATATGGATACCGAGGGGTAAGGGGGTGGTGGTGGGAAGGATTGGGATTGACATATATACACTGCTACATATAAAATATTTAGATAACTAACGAAAACTGACTGTGTAATACAGGGAACTCAGTGTTCTGTGGTGACGTAAAGGGGAAGGAAATCTAAAAAAGAGGTGATATATGTATACATGTGGCTGATTTGCTTCACCCTACTAACAGAACACTGTAAAGCAACTATACTCCAGTTTTTTAAAAAAAAGTAGCAGGAGCACCCTGAACCCCTTCATTCATGTTGTCTCCTCAATCTGAGCAAACATGCTGCTGCTGCTGCTGCTGCTAAGTCGCTTCAGTCGTGTCTGACTTTGTGCGACCCCACAGACGGCAGCCCACCAGGCTCCCCTGTCCCTGGGATTCTCCAGGCAAGAACACTGGAGTGGGTTGCCATTTCCTTCTCCAGTGCGTGAAAGTGAAAAGTGGAAGTGAAGTCGCTCAGTTGTGTCCAACTCCTAGCAACCCCATGGATTGCAGCCTACCAGGCTCCTCCATCCATGGGATTCTCTAGGCAAGAGTACTGGAGTGGGGTGCCATTGCCTTCTCCGAGCAAACAGGTTATTCCAGACCCTATTCATCTCTTCCAGAAAGATATTAAAGGATTCGTCTTTGGAGAAATGGAGTTGCCCAGAGAAAAGACTCCAAATACAGACATCTGGGACGGCCCCTTCAGTGAGAAGGCCAGGTCACCAACCAGTGATGCTGGAATAAGCCCCAGGAATCCACATACCTGCTCAGGCCAGACCTGCCCATCAGCTCTGCATCTCACCTGCATACATAAACAGATAGCCAGGGCACACCAGATATTTCAGAGAAACTACCAACAAGGACAAGACAAATATACAACATGGGGCGTAAAGGAATACTTTTTTAAAAAGCTATAATAAAAGTCCTCAGAGAGGATATTTATTCCTGCAAACAGAACAAGACAATTAAAACAACAAGCAGAGAATCAGAAAGGGTTCTTGAAGAATAAAAATGGGATGCTAATATTAAAAAATGTAAAAGCTAAACAATAAGAAAAGTTAAACAGCAGTGTCTTAGAGAATAATGCCAGCTGTCTACATTCTGATCTTTCCAAACATCCTATAAAAACCACAGGGAATAACAAGGACAACAAAGCCACCCTGAACCCACACCTTCTAAAAAGCTAGGAGTCAGAGAGTACTACAAACTTCAATTTGCAGGAAGGTAGAGAAATGAAGATCCCAAATGAGCTGAATTAGCTCCCAAGTCCACAGTGGAGTCAGGCAGAAACTGCACAGAAAAGAGGCGGCAGGGTTCTAACATCAGACACAGATCAAATTTGTCCCCCACGAGGAGGACACATTCCAAGTGGGAAAATAATGAGGAAAGGTTTGCAACCAGGAAGATCAGAGAAGCAACTGCTAAGGAACTGACAGAAGAGACTAAAAAGTACCTGAAGCTAGCAATTTGGGAAGGCACTGCTTCCGGAGGTCGTGCCTTGACAGTTTGGTGGCAAAGGGAAAGAATGAAGCACGTGATGGAAATTCAAGGTCCTATGGAAACGAAAAAGAATCACAAAACGAGAAGTCATACCAGCCAACTCTCCACTCAAAAAAACGAAGCAGCATCAGGTAAAGAAACTGTCCTTCTCTGCATGAATGGAGTAAAGTACTCTCGAATCAAGAAGCCTAGTAAGACTAGCAGACCTCTCACCCCATTCCACACTGAATTTGTGTTGCCACTGGTACAGACAAATAAATTCATTACAAAATAACCCTAAGCCATCAAGGAACATCCTTACAAAGCTACCACGTGGAAAAAAAAAATTTCAAATCAGAAATCCAAATACTACAGAAACAGAAGTGGGGACCCATCTCCTGCTCTAGCTCGGGGTGGCCAGGCCGTTAGCTGTGTTCTCACTTACTTCCTTCCTCTGGCTCCCTGCTTCCTTCTTCTGCTGTAGGCAGTGCATCAGAGACCCAATGGCCATCTTCTGTTTCTCCCAGGATAGACTCCAGGTCTATTTCATCCATGGTGCTCCCCTCTGAGGACAGCAGTTTATCCAAACCAAATTTGAGTATCTCGCTCAACTTGAATGAAGAAAACAAAAAAGTCCAGTTGGCCCTCATGAAAACAAATACTGGGCACCAGTGATTTGCAAAGTGGCTTAGACACCAGGGCACCGCTGTCCCGACGCTCAGCCTTTCTTCCCTCCCTGTGGCAGATGACACCAACAGGGCTGTTCTGTAGTTGGCTGATGGATGAGTATAGAGAGGTGATAAATGACAGTCAGAGCCTAACTTTGACAATTCTCAATAAACAGAAAATTTGACCCTCCAATCTCTATTCTGAAGAATAACAGTCACTTCTGGCATTATCTTAGCACTTCTCACAGAGTTTTTCACAGGCATCCTCAGCAGTCACGTGAGATGTCACAGACCCTGTTAGCTACTCTCCCACCCCTCCTACCGCCAAACTTCTTGGAATGAGAAGGCTACACAGCATATTTCTTAAGTGACTTTGCTTTGGCAGTTTTGTTCCTACCACAGTGCTCAGTGGAAACCATCTTCACTAAAGACCAGTGACGACAACTGCCCACTAGACGGGAGAGCCATTTCTCAATTCTAATGTTCCTTGCTGGACATGCCTCTGGCATTGCACTACCCTGCTTCTCTTTCCTGCTCTCTAACGAACCCTCAGCCTCTCCCTAGGCTTGTAGGAACCACCTAAAAAAGTTCAGGTCATCTTTTCTGGCTGTCGTCTCCTCCTTTCAACTGTGTACTTCCCGAAGTGCTAACTCCGAGGCTCTGAACCAAGCTGCATTCACACTTTGGCTCATTTGCATCTTGTCTTTTTGGGTTAGCTATCTCTAGCTGGTTTATTTTGTGAATAACTTGGAAATCTTATGATACTCTGCAACAACTGGAAAAAAATTTAGATAGCTCACTGGAAGAACAAACCTAGATATACTTATGTTTAACCTTGTTATATACAAAAAAGCGACTGACTTTGGCAACTGGCTTCCCCAATAGCTCAGTTGGTAAAGAAAAAATAGCGCTAAGTTGTATCCAACTCTTGCCATCCCATGAACTGTAGCCTGCCAGGCTCCTCTGTCCATGGGATTCTCCAGGCAAGAATACTGGAATGGGTTGCCATTTCCTTCTCCAGGGGATCTTCCTGACCCAGGAATTGAACCCAGGTCTCCCGCATTGCTGGCAGATGCTTTACTGACTGAGCTACCTGGGAAGTTGGTAAAGAATCGGCCTGCAATGCAGGAGACCCTGGTTCAATTTCTGGCTCGGGAAGATCCCCTGGAGAAGGGATAGGCTACCCACTCCAGTATTCTTGGGCTTCTCTGGTGGCTCAGCTGGTAAAGAATCTGCCTGCAATTTGGGAGACCCTGGTTCAATCCCTGGGTTGGGAAGATCTCCTGGAGAAGGGAAAGGCTACCCAATCCAGTATTCTGGCCTGGAAAATTCCATGGACTGTATAGTCCATGGGGTTGCAAAGAATTGGACATGACTGAGCAACTTTCACTTCAGCAACTGGCACCAAAAATAGAAGGCACTATTTATGAAAAAGACTGGTCCATACTGGGATACTCCCTTCAGTCTACCTTTCACTTGTGATGCGTCTCAGTTATCAAGGGACCACATGTATTTTTAGAGAAGAAATGTGCATGCACGCTAAGTCGCTTCAGTCGTGTCTGACCCTTTCATGACGATACTATGGACAGTAGCCCGCCAGGTTCCCCGTCCATGGGATTCTCCAGGCAAGAATACTGGAGTGGGTTGCCATGCCCTCCTCCAGGGGATCTTCCCAACTGGGATCGAACCTACATCTCTTATGTCTCCTGTACTGGCAGGCGGGTTCTTTACCACTAGCACCACCTGGGAAGCCCATGAGAAGAAATATATTACAGTATTTAAAAGCAAGGGCATGTGCTTGGAGGTTAGAGAGTCCTTGGATTGGAGTCTTAATGAATGAACATTCTTGGGCAAATTATTTGAAATGGGGATAAGGTGAGTGCCTACCTCATTCTTATGTTATTCATATCACAGAAACAACTGGAAAGAAGCACTTCATATGATACTTAGCACACAGTGAGCATTCAATAAATGTTCACTCCATCTGCCTCTGCCTCTGTTTCTATTATGTTCTTCCTGCAGGATAATGAATCTGCTTCCTTCTTTGAGGATTTCATGATCCAGTACTTCTTAGATTTACTGAAACACGGTCACATCTTTGACTATCGGATTCTTTTTATTATACAAAC